AAAAAACCTAATAATTGGCGCGTGTGGTTCAATTCTACTATATCTGTTACTCAATTCGCTCGGACGGATCGACTCGTGCTGCAGTTCTCGTTATTTCCCTCCATCCGTGCTTCTTCGGCGATAGCTGGAACACAGGCAATTTAAAAGATTGGGACGCCCATCTCAGCACAACGTGATAACCCGCTGAGGGAATTCGCAGCGCCAACTAATTAACTTCACCTTCACTAACCATGCTCTCAGCTGCTCGTCCTCTTTCAAGAAGGGTTACGCTCCTACGAGTAACCTATTTATCATTAACTTTGCCTCCATTGCACCGCCGCGCACTTCATTAATTGCCTTTTAGTATTTCTATAGGGTCATGAGTCACAATGATTTCAACTATTCGCTACTCGTCTCGCGGTGGAGCTTGAAACTAAAAGAAATTCGGGGCTATGATGTAGTTAGAGGTGGACACTGAAGTGAGTGAGCCGCTTACAACATGGGATTAAGTCTAAAGGAGGGAAGGGATTCTGGAGGGGGGGGGGGGGGGAGGACGTGAGCAATCTTTTTTCTCCCTGGCATTTTTCCCCTCTCCTGGACTTGATCCTAGTGTCACCAATCAGCGGTTGGTATACCCTATTTTTAGTGTCCCACCTAGGGACATGAGCTCCGACTTTGGTACTTAAAAGTATCTGGAAGCATGTCGGCACCAGAGATTTAGAAATTCCACTTTCCCCGTTTGCGTCGATAAGATGAAAATAAGAAACAGGCCACGAAAAGAGTTTGTCCATGTTGCCGGGTATTTGTAGCGATTATTGCCGCGAGCTCCTCAGACTGTCCAGCTGTCTTGGCAGTATAGGTAGAATGGAAATTTGATTATCTAGAGATATATATCGATTCTAGCATGACCCGAAACGGAACCAAGGGTAGGATTCACTGACTGTCCCCTGCGCGAGCCTTTCCACTGTATGGCGAACTAAAGTAGGTCGACGATCGCTGCTCTGCTGACTGGTGTATCCTCTGTTTCAAAAAATGGCGAGTGTAGACAACACACCACAAGTGACGACGGTATCTGACAATTACATATTGATCTTGGTAGTAGCTGATAGTAGTATTTGAGAGGTGTAATTGAAGGCAACTGATAGAATGCGATTTCAACAGCCTGATCATCATTTCATTGGTGGAAACATTTATACTCGAGATCCGTGAGTTGGGGTAGGCGTGTCACCGGAAGTGACGTGCACTTGATAGAACTATGTGGATAAGCTGCTTCCAACATACATCGCTGGATATCAGCAAAGCATGCTGGCAACAGCTTATCCACGCAACTTCTATCAAGTGCACGTCACTTCCGGTGACACACCCACCCCAACTTTCGGATATCGACTGTACATTTCTTGAAGACTGTCATCACTTGCGGTGTGTGCTCTGCATTCGACGAGCGGTTCACCGCCGAGCCCCTCCAGCAGTAACAAAATCCATCCGGCCCATCAAGATCGAACTCTTTCCATGAGTTAAGATTACCTGAGGAGAAAAAGTGCATAAAAAGTTGTTTGTTTTGAAAATAAAATTCTCGAAAAACCGTGTCTTATCCCGTGTCCTATCCTATGTTGCCATGTTTTACGAGCAGACTCCAATCTTGCTAACTTGTGCTGAGCCTTGAAGTGAGTAGCTTTTCTCAGCGTCTGTCGAGTGGTGTATTCATTTGAGCGGATGAGGAAGGAAGCG